TTTCTTTCTTTCTTTTTATTCCCTGATGGTTCCTTTACTTATTTATGTTCATTTTTTGTGTGTGAATTGAGTGACAGTTTCTATAGTATTTTCAGTGGTTGCTTTTATGGAGAGTAACTTGCCAGACTTTTCTCCCAAGGTGCCTCTGGGTAGGCTTTCTGTTAGCAGCCAAACACATTAACAATTTGCACCACCCAGAGACTCCTAGGAAATGTGTAACATCAGAAACTTGGGGAACATGATTTTGGCTTTGTAATGGTTTGGTCTCTTCCATTCATATTCCTAAGTAAATACCACTATCAGACAATGCTAAAGCAGCATAAAGTACAATGGACCTAGAGTAAGTCATATGGATTCTGGTCCTAGCTCTGCAACTTAGATGTGTGACCAGCACCTAAGCCTCAGGTGTACAATGGTAAAAGTAATAGTTGCCTCCTAGAATTGTTAGGAGTCCTGGTGTGGCACTGTAGGGTCAGCAGTTCAAATCCACCAGCTATACTCCTCAGAAACCCTATACAGGGTCCCTATGAGTCAGAACCAACTCAACAGCACTTAGTATTACAATAGAGATGCTATAAAGATCAAAGTTGTGGACATGAAAATGCTTTTATCAATACAACGTTAGGGGTGATAATGAATTCTAGTGATAATGCCTTCAGACATTATCCTTACCCAGCATGCACCAGCATGTATGAGATGAACCTCCAGGCTTCTTCCCTTTTGGCAGGACTGTAGATAAAGGGGCTCTCCAAGATGCCTGTGTCCAGGGTAATCCACTGTTTCTGAGGCTTCCACACAGCATAGTAAATAAACACTGCCAGCTGACAGGGAGAGGCAGACATAAATGTTAACCCTCCTCCAGGCAAAACAAAATACAAAATACAAAAACCCCACTGCCATCAGACATTTCTAGCTCATGGCGACACTATGTGTTACAGAGTAGTACTGAACTTGCTAAGGTTCTCTTGACTATAATCTTTAAGGAAACAAATTACTGAGCTTTTCTTCCATGGTACCACTGGGTGGTTTCAAACCACCAGCCTTTAGGTTAGTCGAGAAGTGTAAACTATTTGTGCCATCTAGGAACCTCTCCTTCTTTAGACACTGACCCAAATAAATTCATACACAGTGACTCTCAAGGGGACCACCCACAAGATGACTAGGATTTTCTCACCATCCCACATTGTACTCATACCCTACTTTCTCCACTACTTAGCAGCAGACGTAGGCAAAAATGTAAAGGAGACTTTTTCCAAACCTGTACTCCTACTCTTTTATACCTGGCTCTTTGCCACAAAGTTCTCTGTCTTCCCTCATCTCAAATACCCACTGTCCTCATCTTACCACTCCCACCACTGGCTCCTTCATTTACAGCTTAGTGTAAAATTAAGTCACTGCTCACTTGCAAATAACAGATTAGAGAAAGGGGGAAATAGTGTCTTTACAGTGAAAAAACTTGTCAAACATTAGAATAACCAAGTAAATACCGTTATTATCAATAGTGATGTCATGTGGATACCAAATACCCCTGATATGATATGACATGCAGATGATACAATCTTGCTTGCTGAAAGCAAAGAGGACTTAAAATGCTTACAGATAATGATCAAAGACAACAGCCTTCAATATGGATTGCAACTCAATGTAAATAAAATAAAAATCTTGACAAATGGACGATGATAAATGGAGAAAAAACTGATGTTGTCAAAGACTTCATTTTGCTTGGATCTACCATCAACACTCATGGAGCAACAGTCAAGAAATCAAAAGACAAAAAAAATTAATTAAAAAAACTTTTTATAAGAGAAATCAAAGACATATTGCTTAGGCAAATCTATTGCAAAAGATCTTTTTTTTTAAAAAAAAAAAAAGAGCAAAGATGTCTGTTTGAGAACTAAGGTGTGCCTGACTCAAGCCATGCATGGTATTTTCAATCACCTCATATGCATGTGAAAGTTGAACAATGAATAAGGAAGACCAAGGAAGAATCTATGCATTTGAATTATGGTGTTGGAAAAGAATATTGAAATTACCATGGACTGACAGAAGACAAAGTTGTCTTGGAAGAAGTACAACCAGAATGCTCCTTAGAGCAAAGATGGCAAGACTTTTGTTCTCAGGAAATATCAGTCCTTAGAGAAGGACATCACGCTTGGTAAAGTGGAGGTTCAGAAAAAAAAGAAGGCCCCCGAGATAGATAGACTGATTTAGTGGCAGCATCCATGGGCTCAAATATAACAAAAATTGTGAAAATGGGTCAGGACCAAGAAGTGTTTTTGTACACAGGGTTGCTATAACTTGAAACCGGCTTGATGGCACATAACAACAACAACACAAATCTAAAATTATTCTAAAACAAAAAATCAGTGCATTGACTTGTCTGTGAGAGGCAGGTATCTCAGCACCTGCTCCATGATGCTTCCAAGGAAATTACCTTGTCTGTAGCACCTGGTACTCTGATCTGTGTCCTTACGCAAATCTCTCCCCACCCCCACACTGATTGGACCATAGGTAGGCTAGTCCATGCACAGGGTGAACTGTAGCCTACCATTGTTGTTGTTGTTGAGTGCTGAGGAGTTGGTTCTGACTCATAGCAACCTGGATAAGGTTTCTGAAAAACAGCTGCTGGGTTTGAACCTCTGATCTTGTAGTTAACAGTCCAGTGCTTATCCTACAGAGTCACACCAGGACTCCTGCCATGGCCTTTGTGAAAAGATAAGCTGGGCCAACCAAAGCAGTTAACATGGAGAGCAAATGTTGTTGTTGTTAAGTACCGTGGAGTCGGTTCTGACTCATAGTGACCCTGCACAGGGTTTCCGAGGCCGCAAATCTCTATGGGAGCAGAAAACCTCATCTTTCTCCCACGGAACAGCTGGTAGTTTTGAACTGACAACCTTGAGGTTAGCAGCCCGATTCGTAACCAGTACGCTACCAGAGCTACATGAGATTAAGTACTGAAGAGCAGAAAGAATTCAGATACCTATCCAAAGCAGATGCTTATCTGAAATAAGATCATCTTTATCTGAGCCGTCAGGGGCCTGGTCCCTGATAAAGACGTTGAGGCATCAGTGAGAATTGGTTGGTTGGTTATGTGCCGTGGAGTTAGTTCCAACTCATAGCGACCCTGTACAGGGTTTCTGAGGCTATAAATCTTTACGGGAGCAGAAAGCTTCATCTTTGTCCGGTGGAACACCTGGTAGTTTTGAACTGCTGACCTTAAGGTTCACAGCCCAATTCGTAACCACTACGCTACCAGAGCTAAGGTCCTTGAGCAATGGGCTCAAACGTAACAGCAATTGTGAGGATTGCACAGGACCAGGCAGTGTTTCATACTATTGTGTATAGGGTCACTATGAAACAGAACCAACTCGATGGCACCTAACAACAACAACAGGAATGTCCCGGAAATGTTCCTGGGTGTTACACTCAGCTGCTAATGAAAAGATATGCAGTTGGAACATACTCAGCATCACCATGGAATGATGATCTGTTTCTGTAAAAATTACAGCCAAAAACCCCATGGAGCCGTTCTACTCTGTAATACATGCATCCACCTGAAAGCAGTGTTGTTGTTGTTAAGTGCCATCAAGTCAGTTCTGACTCTTAGGAACCCGATGTAAACCAAACAGAACTATACCTGGTCCTGCACCATCCTCCCAGTTGTTTCTATGTTTGAGCCCAGACACTCTACTTTACCAATCCTGCTCCTCTGGGGACTGGAGCAGTGGGTTTGGTTTAATGCCCCATACTCTGCCAATTCCTTTATGAGACCTCAGGGTGTGGGGAAAAGCTAGTGTGATGAGACTCATGAGAAGCCCAGTCATTAACTCTGTGACTGTGAGCAAGTCAGTCCACCTTTCTGGACCTTGCATTCTTTCTGGAAAACAAAAGGACTAAGGAAATCAGAGTCTGAAAACACAGTTCATGCTACAACTTCACATTCCCTTGCCCAAAGTAGATATAATTAGAGAATCTCATTTTTTTTCCTACTGAAATTTGGAAGCTGTTGCTGTTCTGAGGTGACATCAAGTTGGTTCCTACTCATGGCAACCCCATGTACAGCGGTCCTGCGCCATCCTTAACAATCATTGCTCTGTTTCAGCCTCTAGCTGCAGTCACTGCATCAATGCATCTTCTAAGCATATGGCTCCAAACAGACCTTACCAATGAATAAAAGTGGGCTCAGGAGTTCAGTCTAATTTGCAACCCCAAGATTACTTGATCTTGAAGTCTTCCATCAGTTCAAACGAAACAACCATTGAAATTAGTCACTGCTCTGCAGGGGATTTATTAGAAAAATGAAATTCAACCCTTGGTTGAAAGTAATGGGGAGCATAGGAAATCCTGAGGGGAGTTCTGGAGAGGATAAGGGGAAGGTTCTATGTCTGCTGCTGCTGTTATTGTTAAGTCCTGTCAAGTCGATTCCAACTCATAGCAATTCTGTATAGGGTTTCTAAGAAGTGGTTTGAACTGCCATCCTTTTGGTTAACTGTCTAGTGCTTATCCTACAGAGCCACACCAGGATTCCTGTTGTTGTTGGTGAGTACCGTCACGTCAGTTCCGACCCATAGCGACCTGTATAGGGTTTCCAAGAAACGGCTGGTGAGCTCGAACCGCTGACCTTGTGATTTAAACTGACCTTGCAGTCCAGTGCATTAACCCAGAGCGCCACAGCAGGACTCCTGTACTTGCCCCCAATAAGCTCTCTTCTTGAATGTTTTCCAATCTGTTATGTAGATCTAGATCAAACCTTAGAGTGTGCTGGCATTACTCTAGGAACTTAAGCTAGTGCCCACATTTACCTCAACAAGGCTGATGGAGATGATGAACACAGGGGGTGGGAAGCAGTTAGCTCTATCCAAGTACGATCTTCGGACTTGTTCAGGAAGCATCCATTTTGAGACAATCCTGTGGACCTTTTTATCTTTGGAGGGAGCCTTACCTCCCCCATCCTCTCTCATTTCTTCCTCCTCCATCGCTTCTTTCATCTCTGTCTCCGTATTTGGATTCATACTCTCCATCTCCAAATCATGAGCATCAGCCATTGTCCTGGATCCTTCGTACACCTGAAAGGGACATGAATGTCAGGGGAAAACAAATTAACTGTATGTCCTCTGTCCCTGGAAACTACAACCATTGGTTTCCAAGGCATGTGTTAATAATAAGGTAGCTTGAAGTGATCAAAATGGCTTCTGGTACCCAAGCACTTATATTATCCACACCCTAGTCCCCAATTGTATAACAAAGTACTATAAGTCTCAGTGCGCAGGAGAAAGATGAAGCTTTCTGTTTCTGTGAAGATTTACAGCCTCAGAAAGTCTACACAGTGTCACTATGAGCACAACTGACTTGGTGGCATACAACCACCACCATTGTCTCAGTGAGATAGGGGGCTTCCAGAAGTTACTTCTGGATTCATCTATTGCCACCATCCAAGTTGGTGGATTGGAGTGTTGGACTGGCAACCTTACTTCACATACCTCTGCCACTGACTTTCACTCAACCATCAGTGTAAGATGGTTTAACCACAAGGTGATTTATGTCAGAACCCAAATCATGCACACTGTATAATTAACTCAACTTTGCCTAGCTGAAGTGAGCAGTCTCAGTTTTCTTCTCTATTTCATCTTGCTTCTACTCCCAGGCCAAAACATAGGCCCTTGGTTTCAGATTCAGAATAAAATATCATTAATTGAGCATCTATTATAAGTCAGACATTGTGCTGGAGACTTTCACCTCCATGAACTCATTGAACCCCACAGCAATCCCAGGAGACAGGGAATTGTATCCCCTTTAAAACTGAGGAAATTGAGCCACTCTCCAAAAGGAGAACAGATTAAATTTCTTTCTCAGGATTCAAATTCAACTCTTTTCTTTGTAACTTATCAGTGTTCTCTCTAAAACAGGAAAGGTGCTTATTCAAAATCTGACTTGAGTTAAGAAGGCCGTCCCTTACTTCCTCTCCAGGTACAATAATAGCATGCTTGCTACCACACATCTTCCCCACAACTCTCTCACAACCTCCACTCTTGGCTGTATTCCTGTGTCCATACCCAAGAATCTTTTCCTCAGCATTCCCTTAAACTCAATTTTCAACATCCAATCATTTAAGCATTTATTCAACCAATATGTACTGAACACCTATCAGCCCACCAGGTCTCTCCTCAAAGTGTTTCCAAACCAGTAGAGGAGGTAGAAGTCAAATAAAATTTGCACAAGCAGTCTTATAGTTAAAGTTGAAGTTGTTCTAGGTGAAATCAAGACAATGTAAAGGATACTGAGCCAACATAGATATAAAAGTGAAACCTACTCTGTATTAAAGGGTTGCTATGAAAAAAAAAAAAAAAAAAAAAGACAATGTAAAGGATACTGAGCCAACATAGATATAAAAGTGAAACCTACTCTGTATTAAAGGGTTGCTATGAAAAAAAAAAAAAAAAGGGTTGCTATGATGCTATGAGTCAGAATGGATTCAAGGAAAAAACATTTTTGTTTGTTTTTTTAAGAGACTTGAATCTGGAACTGAGTTATCCATACCATAAATCAAGCCTACTGCTGTAGAGTAGATTC